CCAGGCAGGCGCTGTGCCACTGAGCTAAATCCCCAGCCCTTTCCTTCTTCCCTTTTTCTTCTTTCCCTCATCCCAGTCATTCCTTCCTTTGAGCAATTTCTTTCCCTTTCCTATCATCTATTGTATGTTTTGAGTTTTACCTAGTTTTTCAGGTTCCTATACCAAGGAGACAATATGATGTTTACACATGTGGGTCCGATTTATTTCACTTTTGAGTAACCATGAGATTTTATAATAAGGAAGTTCTTCCCATCTATGAGACACAGGTGCTTATTTTCATACTATCCCATATCTGCTGCCATAGAGATATTAATGATGAAATAAATATCCTAAAAGAGAAGTAATATTAATTGATCTAAATTTTTAAAATGCATTCATTTTACAATGCATAATTTTTCCATGATTAATTTTAAGTTTTCTAACTTTTCCAATGCATCAGAAGCCTTCGTAGAACTGTTGAGAATTATTTCTGCTTTTTTCGTTTCCTTTGTGGCCTCCTCCAAATTCTCTTCCTCAAATATGTTGGAACTTTCTATAAGAGAGTTCTCTAGGTTGTCAACTTGTTGGCACCTGACCTACAAACATTGCTCTAGAAACTGAGGAATATGCTGGGGGAATTATGTCCAGGAGCAAGTTGAAGTTTTAGTTAGTATCAGGGAGGGTGCACACTATTATCTTTTGGCTTCTCTTTTCTGAGAAAGTCAGCAATGCTTGATAGACCTGGTATCTCTTTGAAAAGTACTATCAGTTTTCCAAGTCCTGCATCCCTTTTGAACTTTTCTACCATCAGATCAGCCAATTTAATTTTGTCATATTCTTCTTGTCATATTCTTCAAGTTTAACTCATGGGCCAGAAAGGACTTTATTGTTCTAAAATGATGGTCACTGATAGGATATAAGCCTTGCAGAGAACAATTTTCTTGAATTCACTTACCATCTTCCAAATGATAGGTGGTTCTACAAAAGAAATTTGGCACACAAGTTTCAATATACATGCACGCAAGGAATTTCAAACATGAGATAGGCCTATGTACATGATTCACGTTGGAGTGTGGCCACAGGTCACAAATGTGTGTGCAACAGTTTACCAATTGTTTCAATATTGAAAATGATGCAGAACTGCTCCATTACACATTCCTAACATGATCCTCTTTTTGATGATCCTCTTTTTGTGTCAGTGGTGGATGTGAGGGGACAGAGACTGAGATAGTCACATCTTACAGTGCTGATTGTATAAGCTATGTAGTATCAAAGTCCCTGGATCCTCTTTCCACTCTGTATTGACTGGAGCCTATCCTCTTTATATGTCTATTGGTTGCTGACTCTTCCCAACCATGTGCCTTCTCCATTTGCTTCATCATTAATTAACTCTCATTAGCACCTTGTCTCCTGTGGTGTTGGGCCCTGTCCTCTGTACCCCTATCACTGTCACATGTTGGAAGATCACATGCGTTCCAGCGCATGTCAAAGCATTTACGGACTGGCACTACCTTACCTGTTGCTTGATTTGTTTTGTTAAATCGTTCTTTTTTAAATAGAATGTTTTCTATCCATAAGTCATGGATCAATCTTGCTGAAATGCTTAAAAATTCTCCCAATTTTGTAAAAACAACAACAACAAAAAACCCCTCCTTCCTCTTAAAATACCTTAGCAAGTCTGCTTAAATTATTTAAATATTTTAACTCTATAACTTCTTGTACTCCTCACATCAGATTCTTTACAAATATACAACATGCATTGTCTGGTCATATTTTCTGTCATTGCAAATTCCCTTTACTTTTTCTGGAAAAATATTGCAACATTTCTTCCTTTATATCTACCCATTTGATCATTAACTGGGTTTGCTTTTTGGAAGCTTCCACAGTTCCCAAATGGATTGAGTGTTTTTCCTCTGGAATTCCTTAGCACGTGTGCATTTTCTGATGACACTCAATGCATGGTAAGGAGTCGATTTTTTTGGAGAAAATTAAAAATGCATTTAGTTTAGGAATCCTGCATTTGCATATCCTTTGTGTATTGATATATTCAAATTTCTGAGCGTTTTAATTGTTTCTTTCTTTTTTTCAAAATTTCATTTAATGCTTTTCTTTATTGCACAACTTCTAAAAAACTGCTTCCTTTTTAAGGGAGCAAAGAAATCTTCAGATTGAAAAACCATCGAATGAAGGAAAAATCCATACAAAGACACAGTATAATGAGTAAAATTCAAGAGTATTAAGTGCAAAACAGATACTATTTATGCCACCATAGAAAGATTAGGTCACCTACAGTAATTGAAGAATAATACTGAAAATGATGTTTAACAACAAAACAGTTCACTATAAGAAGAATAATTTTTATATAATACCAGATCAAAATCCAGTATCTACTGCAACCCAAAATGTTTTAAAAATAGAAACATTTGATTGGTGATGGTGACAACACAATGTAGCTCTGAAATATAACCAGATGTGAGAGGAGAGAAGCCTATGTATAATCTTTGTCCATATCACTTAAATGAGAACATACATACATTTTTTTGCTGAAGTATTATTAATTTTGATTGTGGCATGATCCAGATATAATTGAAAGTTGTAGTAGTACAGTAGTTAAAATATATGCATTAAGTACTTTTCTGCAACAACCAGTGTAGGGAACAATGACTCTTAGCATGTCATTTTAAGATAGAATAATTCTAGTCTTAATGCAAGCCTCAAAATGTGTCTTGAGAAACATCCCAGAGGGTTGTAAAGAGTTAACTTTGCAGTCCTGACTTAGTCTGGAATGCTTCTCCAAAGACAAAGAACACCAGGGCCCAGATAACCACCTATGACTCTGCCTAGGTTGTTTCATCCCTTCCATGGCCCTAGATAAACATTGTAACCATAAAGAAAATGTATGGTTACCTAAAGGGGGACATATAAAACAGAGTACAGAAGGTATATATCATTGTGGTTGGGCTCATGACCGGAGCTTGACCCAGTTACATGGCACAAGGAAAACATGTGGCCAGGGCTACAACACTCCTTTCTGTTACCACGGAAACCAAAAATGTATATAACCTGGGAACAAAGACAGGTCCACGCCCACTTCCCTGACTTGCAAGTCAGGATGAGAGGTGACCAGTCTAAATTAAAATTTTGTCTGTTCTCTTTGTTCTCTTGTGGAATACAGCCTGAATTTTTGCCATAATACCAGATTGTGAATTTCACAATGTATCTAGTCCTACATGGGTAAAAGAGGTGCTCTCAACTTCCTTGTGTGAAAAAAAAAATTGATCAAAAACTTAGAACCACATAAATATGATATTTAAACAGAAAAGCATAAAAATCTATTCTCTGATAGTAAAGGCCTTGGCAGTTTTGAAAGGAAAAGAGAGGAACATTGATTGGAATTAATATTCAACAAGAAAACAATAAGCAAAGCTGAGAATCTTTCAGGCCAAAATTAAGTCAAATGCAAGCAAACGACTAGAGGTGCTTATGTCTTAAACACAGGCTCTGACGAAAGATGAAAAACAGGAAATATCAATGTGGTGGAGGGTGGAAGGAAATAGAATAGGATGTTTCTCTAATGTATTTTTGTCTTATAGCATAAGATATAGGTGTGAGTCTAAAAAAGAGAGACAAGGAGGAAAATACAGAAGTGCCATAACTTCAAGGAAAGACAGCAAAATCGAGTCAAAGTATGTAGTTTGATTTAAGACATCTGCCCATGTGTTGTTAATAAAATTTATCTATCTTTTTTTCTTTTCTTTTCTTTTTTTATTTTAAAGGGAGTAGTACATGAGACAGAAAGAAACAAAAAAATAGAACAGTAGCAGCATACCAGTACCACGAACATAAACAAATCAAAGCAAGAACATTCAAAGGGATACAGGGTCTCAAGACAAATTAATACAAATCAACAGTGGTTGTTACATTGCATATCGCTATCCACAACTACATTGCCCAGATTATCAGATGTAAGAATGAAAGATTGCTCAAACCATTAAGGGGAATAAGAAAATAATTCTTCAATAGAACACTAAAGATAATACAGAGTTTCACTAGACAAGATGGTAGGAGTTCACCATTGTATCCATTGCAGTTACCTTAACAAAACTTTATCTAAGTGGGGAAAATGAAAAACAAATTACTATGCAAAAAGTAACTAAGTGAAAGCAAGTTACCTTTATTAATGTAGCCTTAAAGATAAAATTTACTAAGATAAGATAAAATGTATTGTCAGATACCACATAATGACAAAAAATACAACTCCTAAAAAGATACACCAGTCTTCATTATGGATTTTTTTAATAATTAAAATACTCTGTTTGGTTTTACTCTTTTATAACTTCTATAAATTCTCCAGCCAGGAAAATCAAAGTTGTCTACCAAATATCAATTTTAGGCAATTCATGCACAGATCATGTACTTCATAATCTGCAAATGTCAAAATTTAATGCTGAGGACTCACTTGTGGAGGAACAATCAAATCTATTATTTCCTAAGGGAACTTGATCAGAATCAAGTTAGTGCAGCTGATCTAAAGGCAGCTGATACTATCTCTACTCCCCTCAACCACAACTGAGAAGAACCAACAATGATTTCCTTTGGTTATCTTGTGGGTTCCTAGGAGGAATCTGTATATTCACTACAAAACAACCAATAAGAAATACCTTCTAGAAAATCTCTTCAGTAGGACAGCTGGATCTTGAGATTTTTTGGAATGCAGGAAATAGTGCTTGGTATGCTTCAAGAGGAAGGTCAATCAGTAAAGGCCTTGGAAATTGAACAGCAAGATGTCGAAATCTTCTGAAATGACACAAAAATAAAGTATTTCTAAAGGTAACCAAGGAAAAGGATACCTGTCAGACTCAACCAATAATTTCAGGAGTTCTGTGAGGCTCACACTGCAGAAACCCAGTGACAGAGGGTGAGACTCCTCCAGTTCATGCTCTTAAGTTTCGGTTTCCTCTACAGGAGAAACTGCACTTGACTTCCTGTAACATCTCAGTAATCAAAAGTTAGAACTTAGCTATACTTAATTTTTTTCATGTAGATTTCAACAGATGATAGAAGTTCCAGTATTAGAATTTTCCCATCCAACAACTTTACACACAGGTCTTTAGGAACATTTATAAAACTTGAGACAATGAAACTCAAATACTAATAGGAGGAGATATTTTCCAGCTACCTCTTCCTTCAGTCTTGCTCACAGAGTGGCAGTGGCAGGAGTACTTCTATTGGTAATATTACCAGAATGTATTTTCTGGATAGGAAGATTTCTGTGAGGAAATCTTTACTTGTTAAGTATTATATGACTCATTCATGCTGTACATAATCGTGCACCATCAAGGGCTTGCCAGAGCATAATGTCCTTATAAACAGGTAGCTCTATCAAACAACTGTGTTTCTAGCTATCCTATTACCCATTATTAGATGAAATTATTTCAGTGATTAAGTTCATGATTACTCAGTCTCTTATATTATTATGGAGAATCACAACGTAGCATGATAGGTTTGCAACGTCTGGAAGTGCATAAACTTTTGGTAGGGACATTGACTTCATGGAACTTGTGTGCTTCAGGTTTTTTATGTGGACAGAAGATGCTTTCTTGAGCACAACATATATAGCAAAGAGATAAACATCTAAGAACAATGCTTCATAATCCATTTTGTGCAGGGTGGAATAGATGAAGCAAAAGAATGCCAACAAATGTCATATTCCTGACACCTAAGGAATGACTGAATGTTAATGATCTGTCCAATCATACAGAACGCTCAATTCAAAGTAAGAGGCAAACCACTCCATCCCTGTAGGGAGTCAAAGATTTATTGTGGGGAAACTTGTGCACAGGGAATCTTGGGTGGCAGTGAGGGGAGTTAGATCCCAGTGCTTTCCATGCATACCTGTCTACTGAGGACACTATGAGAAAAAGAAAAAGGTCCATGGTTCCTCTCACCTGAATAGCATGGCACAAGTGTAACTGAAGCTCCTATTTTATTGCAGCCACAGTTATTCTGACCCTCACCTTTATAGACAAAGCAAACTTTTCTACTATCTAAGACTGTTTGTTTTACTATGACAGAATGTCGCAAACTGGGGAATTCATGAGAACAGACTCTCATTTGTCATAGTTCTAAAGACTGGTAAATTTGTGAGAGAGGGGCTGGCCTTTGGTGGGAACTTCTGGCTCAATTCTCACGTGGGAGAGAGCAAAAAGGAACAAATTCACTCTCACAAGACATTTTATACAGTCATTAATTTATTAATGAGGGCAGAGTCTTCAAGAAGTAAATATGTCCCAGTAGAACCCACATCTCTACACCACTGCTGTAGATATTAAGTTCTAATATGAGCTTTGGAGAGGACTAGCTGATTCAGTCATAGCATGTATTTCTCTCTTTTTCTCTGCTATTTGCATCATCTATTTGCTGATTTTACCAAGGATAAACAACTTCTGAGGAAGAGTTTACTGAAGGTCCTTACCAGTTTCACGATCCCATTATTTCAAGGCTCCAACTTCTTGCTCTTAATATTTCCCTTTATATTACTACACCCTAGAATCAAAGATAGATTTGTTCTCTTGCCATTGAAATAGTGAATTCACTCTAAACATCATGTTTTTTTTAAACATCTTGTTTTGAGGCTTCATCAAATGACTGAAATCTATAATTTATTCAGAGTTACAAACAAAAAGTGAAAGAGGAATAGAATTTAGATTTCCTAATAATTTTGCCCAATTTTGCATGTTGGCATATTGAAAAGAAAAAATGACAGGAAGTGATGGAGAACTGGTATTCAAATTGTATTTTCTTTTAAGTTTTAGGTTAGGGGTTTGAGAATCTTTGGTCCAAGGAGAAAGACTCATATCAACTCTAAAGAATGTTCCTATGTTTTCTGGTGTTTAAAATATCAGGTCATGAGTGTCAGGAAGTAAAAAATAGGACGTGTGGGCATATATAATAGTCTACAGTTAGTGAAGCAAATGATTCTAATTTGTCCTTTCTCCCAAGCCAATGTCAGATGGTTAACTTTACTTTGGCTGTTAAATGTGGGGTCCATCAGGTTAAATTTCCTAAAAAGAAATATCCATATATAAATATGGATATTTAGAGGGACCCATATTTTATTTTATGGGTATTTACATATGATTATTTTAAGTGTATATACCTTATGTTTATATATTTTAGGAGTATTTCTATTAATGAATTATTTTAAATTTATGAGTTTTATTATATTATATAATTTTTATTTAACAGGAAAGTAAAATATTAATAAAATATATTACATTTTAACATGTATTGATTATTTATGTTACATCAATATTTTCAACATCAAGTTTTTCCTTACTAATTCTAAAGAATAACAACAGAAATAAATTCTTATGTGAACTACAATAAAGATGCAAAGAAAAGTCTACAATAAAAATAATCTTTACTGAAACTAGGACACTGAAGGCCATCTTTACACATGAACAAAACCTGCTCCATACACAGGTATCACTTACATTGATAGTGATGTGTTTTTCTTTCCTGTTTTGTTTTTCTTGTAGGATCTACTTGATATCTCAGTGTCCTTGCTGTTTTGTTATTATATCATACAATGTTTACTTATGAGGAAAATAAAATATTGATAAGATAAAATATTAAATTTTAATATGTACTATGTTTATAACAAACTTCATCATTTTCTACATCAAGGGTTTACAAAATATAAAAATTAGCAATGGATGTAAATTCTTCTGTGTCCTGCAATTAAAATACAAATAAAACTCTAGGGGCTGGGGATTTAGCTCAGCGGCAAAAATCACCTGGCTGGCAAGCGCAAGGTGGTGAGTTCGGTTCCCGGTACCGGAGGAAAAAAACAAACAAAACAAAACAAAACAAAAAAAAAACTCTAAAGCAAGAATAAAATTTGCTTTTGTTGTGACACTAAAGGCAATCTTCAGACATGAAAACGTCTTGCTCCATACACAATTATCTCTCACAGTGAGAGCACATGTGTTATATTTTCCTGTCTTCTTTTCATAGGACAAAATGGACATTTCAGTGGCACTGATTTCTGTTAGGAGGTTTTGTGATGCTCTGCTCTTCAGTTCACTGGTCCGCTCCAGAATTTTTGCAGAGTTCTTTGGGCAGATACATACTGTTCTTCTTCTGTTGTAATCAGTCTTTTATATATTCCAATAATAATACTATAAGAAACTCTCTCTCTAATGTGCTGTCATTATTTTCTTTCTAAACTGTGATACGGTTTATACCTGACATATCTAAGATTGAATAAAACACTACCAATGGCCAAAATTTTGTGTTCTGAAGGACATCATGCTTGTAGGACATGCTTGAAGGACATAAGTCACATGTGAGATGGCAGAAGGCTATGTGTAACCTTTGTTCATTTCACTTAAGTGAGAACATCCCTATATCTTGTTGTTAAGGTATTACTGATTTTGGTGGTGGTGCAGAGGTACAGATCCCAATGGAATTTCTAGTAGTACAGTGTTTAAACCACATGTATTAAGTAGCCTTCTGCAACAACTAGATTCTGAATTTCTAAATATATCTAATCCTACTTATGTAGAAGTGGTGCTCTCAACCTGTCTTGTGTGAAAAAACATTCTAGCACAAAACTCTAGAACTGCATAAAAATGATATTTAAAAGCCTCAATAGTTTTGAAAGGAAAAGCTACACCGGAATATTGATTGAAAATAATGTTCAGTAAGAAAAGAGTAAGCAAACAGTAAGTATCAATTTGGTGGAAGACAGAAGGAAATAAAATAGGATGCTTCACTAAAGTAAAATTTGAAAGCATAAAATATAGCATAATGAAATTATAATGTGAATTTGTCTTAAAGTATAAGATACAGGTATAAGTTTAACCCAAAAGACAAGGAGAAGAATACAGAAGTGCCATAATTTCAAGGGAAGAGAACAAAAACAAGTCAAAATTTGTAATTATAGCATCTACTTAAATGGTTAGCCAAATATATAACAAATTATCAAGTATGATTTAGGACATATGCCCATATGTTGTTAACAAAACTTTACCTAAATGAGGAAAAATGAAAACCATATTACTATGCAAAAAGTGACTAAAGGAAAGCCAATTATATTAATGTAGCTTGAAAGACACAAAGCACTAAGATAAGATTAAAAGGTATTATCACATACCATACATTATTTGTGACTCCTGAGAAATGACTAAACAAATAGTTATTTGTTTCATCACACAGAAAGCTCAGTTCAAAGCAAGAGGCAGAACACTCCATCCTGGTAGATATTCAAAGATTTAGTGCTGAGAAAGTTATGCACAGGCAGTCTTTGGTGGGAGTAAGGGGAGATAGATCACAGTGCTTGCAATGCATACCTGTCTACTCTTGGACACCATGAGAAAAAGAGAAAGGCCCACCATTCCTCTCACCTGCATAGCATGGCACAACGGTGAATGAAGTTCCTAATTCATTCTGGCCACAGTTATCTGACCCTCACTGCTACAGATCAGGCATATTTTCCTACTGTCTTAGTCCGTTTTGTGTTACCCTTATAGATTGTGCCAAACTGGGGAATTTATAACGAACATACATTTATTTTGCATAACTCTATGTGCTGGGAAGTGTAAGAGTGAGATGTTGGCATTTGGTGGGAAGTTCTTGCTCCATCCTCACGTAGTAGACAGCAAAAAAGAAGTAAATTCACTCCCACATACCTTATTTACAGTGCCATTAATTCACTAATAAGAATATAGGCCTAATGACCTAAACGTGCCCGATTAGGCCTCACATAAACCACATAGCTGTTCTAGGGATAAAGGTCCAAT